GTCGCCTCCCCTCTGCGAAGACACACACACACACACACACACACACACACACACACACACACACACACACACAATCAGTTTAATGTTTGTCAGTCTTTTTCCTGTTGTCTGTCCTCCCTCTGATTTTTTCTAAGTATTTTCTTTGTGTGCCCACCCTTAAGTAGTGCCAAACAGTTGGTGGTTCCTCGTTTGGAGTGCCAACTGCACTCTTAGGGGGGGCGCTCTGTTCGGGGTGTCTGTGTTGCCTATGGGTGATGACGGATGCTCGTCGAAGTGATTTCCTGGCTCAGTGGGTGGTGGGAACCAACAGTCTGCGGGTTTCAACCGTGATGTGAGTAGGTCATGCGCTGCTTTGCTTCGTGTTGGATGTGTGGACGTCCTAGTCTGCGCTCTGCCGCTGCCCTGCTGCCTGTCCCGCTTGCTTCGCATGTGGCTTTTTGCAGGTTGATGTGTTCGTTTTGCAGTGCGGCCGTGTTGTTGCTGTTGCCTTGCGCTTCGCTGCTCCGCTGCCTTGCTGCCCTTCCACTGGCTGTGCCTTCCGTGTTTGCTGCTTGGAGGCCTTGTTGGTTGGTTGCCTTGTTGAGGGTGCCTTGTGCTTCGCTCCACAGTTGCCGAGTTGCTGGTCTGCTTGCCCTGTCGTCCCTTGCAGTATGGTTGCCTTGCTTGTGTTGCCTTGCGCTTCATGACATGGTTGCCGCGCTGCTCGTCCTGCGTGCCATGTCGTTCCTTGCAGTCGTTTTCGGCGTTGTGCAGCCGTGTTGCCTCTACTGTGTTGCCTGGTGCTCCACAGGGTTGCTGCCCGCTGCTATGATCCGGTTGGGAACAGTCTTCCCTCAACAAGGGTCAAAGGGTTCATGACCCAAACCATCAAATACGGGGATTCCGCAGATTGTCGAGGTTCAGCCTCCTGATGAGTCGGTGCAACTCCGACGAAACAATCTTGTCATCATCTTTTTTTTTACCTTTTTTATTTATTTATTTATTTATTTCGGTCTTCGCTGTTTTTGGGTACTTGTATTTTTGCTTTGCATGCTTTCTGCGTTTGAGTGACGTCTGCCCTCCTGCCTCCCCCGTGCCTTCCACCATTGTCTTTTGTTGCTGCCTGATGTAATAGCAATTTTTTTGTTTTTCTTTGTTTTTTCGCATTTATGTATGGTCTGCCCTCCCACCTCCCACGTGCCCCCCAGTCCTTGTGCCCTTCTGCAGTTTGTTGTCGTTGCCTCCTGCCTTTTGCCTTATTGTGCTTCCTTTCCCCGTCTTGTGGTGTCTATTTGATCGTGTGTGTTCCAGTTCGCCCGCAAAGTGCAGTGGGAGCATAGATGGTCGTGTAGTCCGGCATAGTCATTCCCAACCTTACAGTATAGGTTCCGTCTGCACCACGCCTACAAGTTTTTGTTCCTGAGCTTGCTCGTGTAGTCCAGCATAGTCATTCCCCACCTCCGAGTACTGGATGCGTCTGCACCACGCCTACAAGTTTTCATTCTTAAGGCACGCCGATATATTATTTCGGATCTTGATTATGATGCGGTTTCCGTATCATACCGTAATCACGTCTTATTATGCGGGTTACACACACACACACACACACACACACACACACACACACACACACACACACACACACAGAATATGGTCGCCCTCTAACCTCACACTCGCATGCTAAGCTATACTGCATGCACACCTTGTATCCTTGCTATGGCTTCTCTTACTCTCACCCTCACTCTCCCTCTGCCTTCTTCCAGCACTAGTGCTCTAGCAGCAGTGCTCCAGCCTCAAAGCAGCGCAAGGCAGAATGAATGCACGACATGGAGCAGGCCAGTATTAGTGGGTTCGGCTCAGCCTGGACTGCCTCCAGCTGCCTCCTCGAGCTGGCGAAGATTTACCGATGATATTTGCCGCCAAGATCCTTGCAGCCAGTGTGTGCCTCGATTCAGTAAGCCCTGGAGGTTTTCAGAACTGGCAAAGTCTTCCACTATTGGTCTACTGGGCCCCGGTCGGGCCTGACCGTTGACTTTTCTACTTTCTAGAGCCCCTTGCAAGGCTGTTGGACTGCCTTACAACCCTAGAACTTGGGACCTTTCTAGAGCCCCTTGCAAGGCTGTTGGACTGCCTTACGACCCTAGAACTTGGGACCTTTATAGAGCCCCTTGCAAGACTGTAGGACTGGCTTTTGACACTAGAATTCCAGGTTTCCACTTGTCGAGTCGAGTCGAGCCTCGCTTTTGTGGACTGGTTCCCACTCTTTGGCACTTGGCCAAAAGCTCCAGCGAGGTTTTAGCATCGTAGCTCGAACCTGGTCTGTATCACAACCAGGTACAAAGCTAAGGCCTCCCTGGAGGTAAGCCACAGGCGGAAAGAAAGACGGACTGTACGTCAGATCTAGGGGGCAGAGTGGCAGGGCCACAACAGTGCTGAACCTGGACTAAAATAGCTTGAACCTGGCCCGTATCACAACCGAGTACGAAGTAACTTAGTGCTGAAATACCGCCAGTGCACCCTGATTCTAAGAAAGTAAGAAGAACGCAATCTACCGCATCCTGAGTATACCTATACAGCCTCTCAGGCTCTCACCCCCTGCCTTCACAAAAGTCGGCAGACACCTATTGTTGGGAGAGATCACGATTCACCGTGTGACTGTGGCTCTAAAGAAAGCTGTGCAAAGGTCCCAGGCAGACGACCAATAGCATTACACGCAGCCACCCACGACATGAAATACAAGCAAAGCAAAAAATGTTTTCTCCAGACTCAAGGCGCAGTAGGACGCACCTTTTTTTTTTTTTTTTTTGGTGGGGTGTGAAATCAAGTCCTTGGGGATGAACCATTAGTGTGGATGTAGATGTTGAGATATCAACTGCAACAAATTGGTGAGGAAGTCGAAACAGGAAGCAAAAATTTTGAAATGCAAAAACTTTAAAGCTGCCAAAAAGACGCAAAGAACAAAAGGCGAAGAAGAGCACACACATGGGGTCTCGCAACTGCGCAACATACTCACATCAAAGTATATTTTAAAATGCAAAAGCCAAAAATCAAAAACACGAAAACACGAAAAAAAATAAAAAAAGGCGAAGTGCGAACATATTTTGCAACTTTCAAACATACTCGCATCAACGTGTTTGAAAATTTAAAAACAACAAAAAAGAACTTCAAAGAACAGAAGAAAAAAAGGCGATGAGCGCACTCATGAGTCATGATGATGTGTTTGCGACTCGTTTTTTTAACATACTCACATCGAAGTACTCTTTGAAAGCGGAGAACAATGCCGTTTTCATCACCTCTTCATCTTCCGGGCGCGTCCAGATTACGGCAGGAGAAAGAAAATTTGTAGTCTCTGCTGTAAGTGCTCCTCCCCAAGGGAGTTCCTAAATACCACCCCCCCCCCCCCCCCCCCCCCCCCCCCCCAATAATAACATCAAACCAATGGAACCAATGGGACCAATGGAACCAATGGAACCAATGGGGCCAATGGGACCAATGGGACCAATGGGATCACATAAACCAGTCACTCAGTGAACACGTGCATTCATAGCATCGGGTGTCGCCATAAGGTACATGAGTTGCAGACACTTGCACTGCATTAAAGTCCAAAACGAGTTCAATCGCCATTCGAGAAGATCGCCACTACCTTCTTCTCCCGAACACAGCGCGGCATGACTGTATGTATCTGGACTGAAACATGGTTTGTATGCTGCTCTATGTTCGTGACGACGGGGCGTTATGTTCGCGGGACGAAGGTAGCTAGATCAATCCGTCCATCAACCCACCCACCCACTCCCCACCTTCCGACCCACCAGTGCAACTAAACAGCCCACAATAACTGGAAGAGGTGGTGGAGGAGGAGGAGGAGCAGGAGGAGGAGGAGGCCACTACTCGTTGACCCTCAGTGCAACCAGATGCGAGGAGAAACTCAGGCAGGCACAGAAAGATGCGGCACTCAAGTGCTTGCCTAAGAAGCTGTATATATACCTGAGACGATCATTGAGCGAAGCGATCTCAAGAGTGGCAGGAATTTCGCCTACCTCTCGATAGCTCTAAGGACTCCGGGGGAAAAAAAAAGGAAAAAAAAATCCAAGGACCTGAACTGAGCAGGAAAAAAACTTTCTCTCCATCCTCCCTCTCTCAATTCAGCAGAAATGTAAGGGGGTGGACAATTCTGGGACAGATTATACCACCACCACCATCTCGTGGAGGCCTTCTGTCAGTCCCCAACAGTTATATCAGTGGTTTGGAAAAACAGAACCAGCTCCAGCTGGGCTGGTACATCCAAGGTGTGTGGGCTCCTACAGTCTTCCCCCGAATACAACGTACGGTCATTGTAGCTGAATTTGGTGTATCTTTCAGTCTACATTCAGCTATAATCACCGTACGTTGTATTCGGGGGAAGACTGTAGTGCAACAGCGAATCTGCTACAGGCACAGGTAGTTTACACCAGCCAAAAGGTACGGCGAATAGGAACAATAATATGCACACCAGGTACAGCGACCATGTAGTACATACTACATACCTCCTTTTTTTTTTCCTTTTTTTTTTGTAATTTGCCAGAAGTCGGGCCGGTTTCTCAATTTGTGTGTGTCATCCTTGATTAGGCAGGGGGCATGCTAATCTTCTGTGTAAAAGGGCCTTTACCGATATAGGCCTCAGGCCTTGTAAAAATAAAGAAGCACCGGCCTTGAAAAAGTAAAGCATTGTGAAAAGGTATCTCGCCAGGGCTCAGAAACGTGAAAGCAGGTCAAAGGTCAAGTTCTCTGTCAACAGGCACATCTAAATCTAAGGCAAAGGGCATTGTCAAAGGACTTACCTGTTCACCAGGAGCTGTGTATGTCATGTCTGTTCGGGTAAGAATGTGTCTGTGCGTGCAGACAATGTACCTGTTCGTGCAAAGGAATGTGTCTGTTCGTTTAGAGTTATGCCTGTCCGAAAGTAAAGTCAATAGGCACAGTCCCAGTTCTGGTCTAAGTCCAGGGGTCAGTCCAGATCCAGACTTTCAAGTCCAAATCCAGGCCAGGAGGCCTCAGCAGCAGTTGAACTTCATTGGGACTCTACTGGGACACATGCAATGCAGGGTCTGGGACAAAAGGAAGGCTGGATTGRGCCAATGCAGACCYAGCGAGGAGTATAAAGGAGGCAGCCAGCCTCATTCCTYGCCAGATCCCCACTGGCAYTCTATATGTGGAAGYKYTGGTGCACTTGTGCGTTGAGCCAGTAGGAGCAGCGCTGGAAGGAGAAGATGCGCTGAGTGAAGGGAGAAGCTTGTATGCTSGAAAGAATGCARCCATAGCTGCCCAGCAGTTAGTATTAGTACTAGAGGGTTAGTAGTGATAGYTATGAGTAGTATTCAGAGTAGATCCTCATGAATAGAGAATGTGTATGCATCGTAAGAGGAAGGGMCTGAGATATAGAGTGTTCATTCAAGTTTCGGCTATGGAAGATACTTACCTGAGTTGGATGTGACCTGCAGAGGTGGCGCTGAGGAGTAGTGTCCATATTGATGACTTGGAGACTATCTGCAGGAGTAGCGCTGATTCACTGGAAGTCATATTGATGAGTTGACAAGAGATTGGTGTTCCGCTGATGAGCGCTGGACTCAGGGGAACCTTGAAACACTTTGTATTCATATTTTTGATAATATAAGCTGTGAAACTTGGTCCTCTTCTCATCTACCTTTGTCTATGACTTGAGACTATTGATCGTGGTGTGTGAGGATGATGCATGACATGTACACATCTGCGTGAGATGGTCCCCAGGACCCATGCAAAATTTGGTATCGGAGCAGATGCTCGCTACTCTCATAGCGCTGGTCTGATCAAGGCCGGCGAGAGGAAGTGGTGATGGAGGCAGAGTGAAGGAGGGAGGAAGAGAAGAAGAGTGTTGATAGTGTGGGAGCAGGCCAAAGAAGAAGTGGCGAAGTCTACTACCTGGAGCATGCGGAGCGTCGTGGAGCACCATCGGCGGTATCTTCAAGAAGAGAGAAGCACCTCCTTTCCCTGAACCTGCATGCATGTGTGTGTCCCCTACCTACTCTCTCTCTGACTCTCTGAAGGTGACTGCTGCTGATCTGGTTAGGAGTCGAAGTCTGGATCTGGGTTGTCATAGATGTCAGGTCTGAGCCGTCAGAGTCTGATAACCCAAGTGTGATGTGTCAGGAACTGGTCACACTAGAGTAGGGGTCCAGTATTCTGCGAATAGGAGTATGTCTCTCTCCTATCCCTCTTGATAGGTAGGCTGGGTATCGTTATCAAGAACCAAGAATTGATGTGGAAAGTGGCTATGTGCCACGTCAGATTGCATGTACCAGGCAATACAAATATGATGAGTAGTATTTACAGGGCCTGTTAAGCCCGAAAGAAAGAACAGGGTATACGAAGTATCTCTGCCTGGGTGGGTAAGTGAACCAATTGCATCTGACTTCTTTGCGCTATACTCCATATCTGCACACAGCAACCAGCCAAGTTAGTACCGAAAGAAAAAAATATACACATTGAGGGAAACACATTGCCAACAGTTTGATCCAGGGAGCCAGACAGCATATTTGTTTGAACTACGCAGCACCTTCTACAGTCAACAGAAACAAAAAAAAAAAAAAACAAGTTCATTCTAATTTGATCTATTGTTGATTGTACGCAGCACCTCTACCATTAAAAAAAAAAAAAAAAAGGGGAAAGAAAAGGTATAAGTACTCCATTACCGCAAGTCAAGACCAAGTCTGTAAGTGGGATAGTACCTTGGTGACCTGGCGGAGGATCTCCTGTGCCGGCAGTCATCATGGATGACTATCCCATCCAGGGCCTGTTGGCCCTTTCTGTATTATTGGGGCCCCTGTTCAGGCTGATGTTCCCGTTGGGGTTCGGACGTGTGTGCACGTCCCGCATGCTGATGCAGTCAGGGACAGTGAAGTCTGGCCCCACACCTGCAGAGCAAGCCGAAATTGACCGCAGGCTAGCAGAAAAGTAAAAAGAAAAGGAAGTAAAGAAAAAACAGAAAGAAGAAGAAGCAAGAAAGAAAATGAAAGAGAAAATGGAAAGAGAGTTGGAAGAAGAGTTGAAGAGTATAGAAGAAGAAGAAGAAGAAGAAGAACAAGAAGAAGGAGAAGTGTTGGAAAGACGTCGTCGCCAAGACATACCTGAAAGCAGCACAACGCCCCGCCTTCCCGTTGAACCACTGGATTGGGGCAGCCGGTACTACTACTCCAGCGAGCCTTTGAAAGAATCTGATGAAGAACGGGATACGTTCATCGCCAAGTTGGCCACTATTAAAGACACCGTTGAACGAAACCTGATGTTGGAGGAGAAACGGGCTGAGCTAAATCGCAGGCTGTTGGCCGCTAGAAGGCAAGAGGTGGAAGAAAAGAAAAGATTGCAGGCAGAAGGGGATAAATTGCAAAAAGCTCTAGAAGCGCAAAAGGAAAACCCCTCTGCAACTGAAGCACAGCTTGCACTCCTCAGGGAGGCCGTCCTCAACACGAGGCAAGACATGGACTTAATGCAGCAGACATTGCAACGTGTAGAAACACATCGGGTTGAATTTGAGAATGTCTGGAATAACTTCGTAGAAAAGTCAGCAAAGGACATGGACCAACATGTGCAAACTTACATCCAGGCTTTGGACGAACATATTAATAAAGTCTTCACCCCGGAGGTCGTAGAAAAGATTGTAAAGGGAGCTGGAGGTGACGGAGGAGATGGAGATGGCGTCGACGATGATGATAAGAAAGGAAAGAAGAAGATTGAGGGTTCAAGGGGTCAACCTTCTCAGGAACCTGGGCAGACTAACAAGATTAAACTTAAACTGCCCTGGACCTACAATGGAAAGAAAGAAGAGAGTGTGTTGCATTGGGCGGCGGCAATTGAAACCTATGTACAGACAGCGTATCCCATACTGGGACAGGGTGTTGATGGCAACTTCGTGCATGGGAGGCGACGCCATGAGCTTCGCCATCTCGCTGCAAAAGGAGGCGGGATGCAGCTCTATGGTAGAATATTCGCAGCAAACGCGAATCGAAGATTTCCTTAGGTTAATAAGAGAAAGATTTGAGGACAAAAACTTGGCAAGACGTACAGAAATGTTGATTCTCAGCCTTCCCGATAGGAAATGGAAGAGTACCTCTGCATTAAAAGCAACTAAGGACGAATTGTTGCAATGCCCTGATCATGGATTAACGCCAGCCCAAATCTTAAACAGTTTTGCACGAGCACTCCCAGATCCCCTGATAACGCAACTCTATCCCCGCACAAAGGAAGAGGGGATGACATATGAGAAGTTCGGCAAGATCGCCATAGATCATGCTGGCTTCCTCGCTGAAGCAAATTATTGCCATTACTGGAAGGATTTGCAAGCGGGAAAGAGATGGCAAAACCGCACCAT